TTAGCACAGTCATTGCTTCACATAATTACAATTTTCTTTTGGTCACAAGAACATTTGAGATCTCTCTACTGTTCATTTTAATTGTCTTATGATTGGCCTTCTGCATGTCTAAGTATACATATTTTTATAGTGGGCATGAATTCCTTTTCTAATCAGATAAAATATTTTTTTACTAATGAGAATAAAATATTTGTGGTAGGACTGATAGACTTCAGCAGAAATTATATAAGGGTGGTAGATAAAGCAGACTAGAAAGGGGTTGTGGAACTTAGTCTTAATTTTCTTTTTACCATGTGCTTCTATGAAAATATGGGAGGTACAGTGTAAATATAGTGGTTCACCTGAAATACTCTAAAAGAGAAATGCTATTCTTTTTACTTATTTCTTCTATAAAAAATAATAGGGCATAAGCACAGTTTAAAATCAGTTTAAATATAGTATATACCTTCTTTTTTTCAGTAATTGCAGTATGAACCATTGTATAGATATAGTATCATTCACACTATTTAAAAATCCCCTATAGTTGGATATTTGGGTTGTTTCTACCTTTATTTGGGTGAAATAAAATCCTAAAGGGTAGCTTGCCAGACCAGAGTGTTTGCAGCCAATGTGACTAAACACATTGAAGATATTTATCTTTCATCTTCAAGACATACAAGACTTAGATGACTATTCTGTCCCCAGCCCCTGGTCCTCACCGCACCCAGAACAGTTAGCTATTGCCACCATATGCCTGCTTGTCTCTAGGCCCCAGATCACCTTCTTCTCACAGTCCCTGCAACCTGATTCTTGGTTATCTAGTGGTTTTACCTGGTACATTTCATCTAGCAATCTTGCCTAATGATGATAGTCACCTGAATCAGTTATTTCATTTGGGGTTTGTGGGATGATATCTAATTCTGCCAATTGGCTTCTAACTAATTTTTTAAATGCAGCAACATACAAGGAAGGAAACTTTCCCAGAATCAACCATTCAATAGAGTAAAAATGTCAAGCCTGAAAAAAGATAGATGTGAAAGAGCAAGATGGTTATTTTAGTAGTTCTCTGTAATTTACACTTAATTGCACATTGAGAAATAAGAATAAAAAATCTAATTCTACAATCCAAATTTATGTAAAAATTTTACTCTACAAGACAAAGAATCAAGGCCATATAAAAGCAAAAAAAACCAAAACCCACACAACAGAATAATTTATTTGAACCCATCTTTTCTTGAACAAAATTAAAAAATAATGAGTCATTTCCTTCAGCCTTTTATGTCTTTTCAAAAACACCATTGGTGATTGACAACCTAGGAAAAGGCAGTCTTGCTTTTGTGACAACCATCATTATTCTGTGGTACAAAGAGCAACAAGGAAATTCGGGAATGAAATAAAAAAAATAAATATAGCAATCTTAACAGTTATGAGAATTTAATAAAACAAAGCCTACTAAACTTTTTACAACTATAAAGCTTCCACATTTGTAAGTTAGACGTGACTGTCAGTGATGATGAAAGTGAAAGTATAGGTTAGAACTAATTGTACTTTTTAGAGAAGCTGGACACGAAAAGGCCAGTTGGAAAGTCCCAGCTTTTTCTTCCTGTCAGTCAGCACGATAAAGACTATCCACGGAGGACCTTCACCTTTCCCAGCCACGTTCCGCTGTAGCACAGTGCACGGTGCCTTCTGTGTATGCAGGGAAACCGGCAGTCCAATTTCCATAAATGACTCTAGTCTGTGTTTAAAAGGATCAAGATGTATTGAGCTTCATTTCTTCACTGATTCCAGATGCATATACATTTCCACTGTTTTTCCTCAAAACATTCATTATTTCACTCCAGTGCACTGCTTGCCTATGAGTGCTCACCTGGCAAAGAGATGTTAAAATATGTGACATATTTTATAGATTTCTAGTTCTAAAGTTAGAAGGACCTTACATCCTTTCTTTCCATGGCTGCAAATAATGTGAGTGTTTGGAACTAGTTCAAGAAAATTACATTTATAAGCTAAAAAGTATAGAGTAAGTAATCACTAAATTCTGTAGATAATTTCTTTTTGAAACTAAAGGTTTCCCTACTTGAATGGCCTGTTTTTTAAAATCCTAACAGCCAGTCTTGGGGTCAAAACAAACCGTGCCAAGGGCAATTAATGAGGCCAACAGACAGCATTTAAATAAATGCAGCCACAAGTTCAATGCACAAATAATTAGGCTGAGTACTAGAATATGGACACAGGTCAACCTACAAGTTTGTTAACCCCTGTCCAATTAGGTAATAAACACATGTAGTTATGAAAACAACACTGCTAGAATAGCCAAAGAACAAAACTTTTTGGCTGTCTTTCCTATCTCAGAAGCAACTGTCAGAAGTAAAAGAAAGTAAGTTAGGACTTTTTACCAAAGCTGGCACATTCACCTTGGGAACGAGGGGTGTGGGAGTTTCACTAACCACAGTAATACTGCATTATTCATGAAATTGATCTTTGAATTTAATTGGACCTAGAGCATAAAACCACAGGCAATCAGGAGAAAAAAATGGTCTCTGTATGTTTAGGCCATGTTTATTCTACTGAGGAATATTTATTCTACTAAGGATCACTAGTCCTTAGTTAAAATAAGCAAATAGGAACCCACTAAAGTATGAAATCCTTAAAAGACTGAGTCTCATTTAATCTCTATCCCTAGCACATAATTAACATCCTGGAAATGTTTGTGGATTGACTGTAAATAAAATAAGTGCAAAACAGTTTCTGATAGAATAAAAAGAAAATATTCTACCTGTTTATTTTTACAATGTAGAATAGTTACCATAAATCTCTATTGGAGGAAAATAGCACTGTGAAAAATGTTGGCTCCCTCTAGGATGGGTTGGAAGAGAGACAGAGGAGGACAATTTTAGAAGAGATACTAGAGAGAAGGGAGACAGTCTTACAGAGAAAGAGAAGAAAAGAGAAGGGCAGAATCAGAGGGACATCAAAGGATGGGGGTGAAGGAAGAGAGGTGCTGGAAGACAACGACACACAATGGACACAAGGACGCTGAGGGGGAGAGGTTGTGAGAAGAGAGCCCGGAGATGGGGGAGGGCGCTGGGGCTG